GGTCTTGCTATGCAGTTCAGGCTGGCCTTGAGCTCACTTTGTAGCCCAGGCTGGTCTCGAACTTGCAAGGATCTTCCTGCCTCAGCCTCCTGAGTTCTGGGATTACAGGCGTGTGCCACCACACCCACTTAGTGGGCCTCTTTCAATTTTATTTTTTATTTGTCTTGTTTTTTGAAACAGGGTCTCACTATGAACTTCACGGTGGCCTTGAACTCAGTTTGTAGCCCAGGGTGGCCTTGAAATCACAGCGATGCTCCTACCTCAGCCTCCCAAGTGCTAGGATCACAGGTGTGTGGCACCACAACAGCTTCTTCGGATTTCAGAGGCACATATTTCTCATCAGGGTGTGAGGGTCCAGGAGCTGTTAGTTTTGAGTGGAGCCCTTGGCCTCTGCTGCTACACTGTCATATGTGTTTCATCCCCACATGTGGGCTCTGGGGAGTTCGCTGCAGTCAGGCAACGGAAGTAGAGAGCATTCGGGCTGGCTACACACATGGTTCTTCACAATGTGGGAGCAGCCCCAAGCATGAGGAGCACAGCCCCATATCTCTTCCTGGGACAAGACTGAGGGACAGTCATGACGGGGACCCCTTGTAGTGGAGTACCCACAGCTTTAAACCATATGCTTTGTGAGGTTTTGCTTGGAGTGAGAAATAGCAAGAGGTGCAGTTATGTGCCCCATCACGGGCTGTGGCTGGGCAGGGAGGTACTCAGAAGGAACATGACTGGAAAACTGGTGACACAGTCTGAAGGAGTGTGTGGATAACCTGCTCTGAGTGGGCAAAACCCCCAAAAGACATTCATGTCCATGTGAATGCTCCCCAGGGGTGAACTCAGTAGGGGTGGGGGCTCAGATAATGGAGCAGGAAGGATGAACCCTGTCCTGTGGACTCAGGCTGGCCTTTTTCCCACACACCCCTGTCACTGCCCTCTGCGGTCATGAGCAGTGGCGGGGGCAGGGCTGGAGAATGTGCCTGGGCGCAGCAGTAGGGAGCTCCACCCGTCAAGACTGACCTGCTCCAGCCACCACTGCGCGTCCAGTCCGCCTGTAGTGGACACTAGCACTGAGTCCCTGAGGCAGCACCACTCCCTGGCACTCAGCCGTTGCTGGGTGGGTTGACTACACTGGATATGTTTCCATCGTGGTAGGATCAGTGTTTTGTCCTTCCCAGAGCTGACACTTTCTCTGGATACAGACTTGCCTTTGCCCTGCACTGCTTCTGCAAAACCACCTGTGTTCATCCACCATGCAGTGCATCCACGTTGCTCAGACAGTGAAGCATGGCTGTGGCCCACACTTGTGGGGCCCACTGGTCCCACTGTGCTCTCCACCACTCTTAAACAGCTGGCCCAGTGAGGGTGGGATGGCATTCGGCCAGGCACAGCACTAGAAGGGGCCAGGTCTGGGGGCACTGTCAGCATGAGTATATAGGGCTGCTTCTCCTATAGCCAGGATTCAGGTCTGGAACCAAAGGGTAGACATAGGAATGGCACCTGTCACAAACATCCCTGAGCTTCCTGTCCCCACCTTATGCTCTGCTCACCCAGAGGTCTTAGCTCCAAAGAGAGGCACATGTCCACCAGGAGACAGCAGTTCTGAATGGCTGGAAGCTGAAATGCCACGGAGGCTCTTTGGGCTCCTGGTACCTCAGAGCCACAAGTGAAGAAGGGAGCTGCCAGGCTGGCTGGGGGGTGGGTTCTGGCTACTTCGGGGAAACAGGCTGCCACCCCACAGGGTAGAGATTGTGCCTGGGTGGTGAGGAGACTGTGTCTGTAACACAGGTCCCTGTGGCTGTCTTGGTCTTGTGCCCTGTGGTTAAGGTCCATGGAAAACAACAGCAACCTAATTCACACAGGACCACAAATGGCCCACACCTCTCAGGAGTGAAGATCTCACCCCCCAATCAGGTAAACAACCGCTGAAATGCTTGCCAAGGGCAAAAGGGATGTGAGGTGACAGTAGGGGATGATTGTTGCCAAGGCCAGCCACAGCCCTGTGACTGGTTACAAAAATGAAGACTATAATTGCTGTGAGGGTTCCTTCTTTACTTGGGTATCGATTTCATTTTATACATAGGTACTCTATATGACATATTTGCTTTCTTTTCTGTCATATTCTGTTATATAACCTGAGATAAAAGGTATGCTAGCTTTATGTTATATTTAAGTTACAGAATATCAAAAAGAAGAGTAACATCATCCCAGGACTTTCTTCCTTTGGTCGTCAGGACAGTTATATTGGGTTAAATGGAGTCAGAATGTTGTTATTGTCTACATTTGGAGGTCAGTTGTGGTTTAAGGAGATAGGCACAAGAGACAAGCCGACAAGGGCTCCACTGAAATGGCTGATGCCATGTGTCATTACCAAGTTAATTTTACCCCTTAGTTATTGCAGACTGATTAGGTCCACAATCTCCCAAACAAGTGGACAGTGAATGCTAAATAAAAGGAATGATTTCAAGGCTCCAGGAAGATCAAAACCCTCTCACAGAATGTGAGATTCTTTGGGAGCTAAAACCAAGATCTTCTCTGGGAGGCCCAGATTTATTTAGTTATCAGAACAAGGGAGGGAATACTGAAGTAGGGTAGAACTGCTGAAGGACTTCTCCAAATAAGGCCTTATGATAATTTAGGAGAGTTATATTAATTCCAGGAAGGTCTCCGCCCAGGACTGAGATGCCTGAGGCTACAGTCTTTATTAGTTGAGGTTGGAGCCAGGTGTCCTTAGCTGTGACCTTGTCTTATCCTTTCAGGCTTCATGGCTTCACCTGCCATTACAGGCCTCAGCAGGGACCAGTGACTCACAGAGGTTCACTTACTATGAGTCCACCACCCATCTCCAAAAAAGGGGCCTAAGCTTTGGATAGACTCACAAACATGAAAAGCCAATTGATTAAGTCCTGCTCAGGGTTGCTTTGTAGTTGTCTCCATGATGTCATCCTGACCAGGCGATGGTGCCCGGCTATTTGCTCAAACAGTTGTCTAGATGTTGCTGTGAAGGTATTTGGAAAATGTGATTAGTCTGTATGATTATTTGCCTTTAGATCAATGAGATTACCCTTGATAATGTGGATGGGTTTTATCCATTCATTGGAGAGCCTTAAGATCAAAGACAGGTTTTCTAGGAGAAAAGAAGGAATTCTACATCAATACTGAGACACAGAAAAAACAAATACTGTGTGCCAGAGCTTCTAGCTTGCTGGATTCCAAAATCACATGATCCAACCCCTTTAAATAAGCCCCTTAAGAATATGCCTACTCACAGTTTATAATAGCTAAATTTTGGAAACAGCCCAAATGTCCAACCAGTGAGTACATAAAGGTGTATTTTTTATTTTTTATTTATTTATTTATTTTTTTTGGTACTGGGAATCAAACTCAGGACCTTAAACTTGCCAGGCAGGCACTTGTGCCCCTGAGCTTTATCTCTGGCCCCTTTTAATACAATGGAGTACTACTCAGTCATAAAGAAGGATAAGCTTAAGACATTTCTAGTAAATGGATGCACCATGAGACCATACTCTTGGGTGAAATAAATTGGACATGGGTAAATACCACATTGTTTCTCTGGTGTAAAGTGTAAGTAAGGACCAAAATGTAAAATAAGATACTGAGACATGGGAAGAAAATGTTCAAACGAGAGGTGGAACTAGAGAGAGGGAGGGGGAAGGAAGGAAGGGAAAAGAAAAAATGAGAAAAAAAGGGAAAATGGAAACAAAGCTTTTGTAAAGAAGGGGAAGAGGGGTTGAAGGGAGGGTAGGGGAAGGGGGAGAAAAGAATCAAGCTATATCATGTGTAGGTTCAAATTCCCTCTGATGAATATGATCATTATGTATACCTCAAATATACCAATAAACTTAATTACTTAAAAAAAGACACCGGGTGTGGTGGCGCACTTCTGTAATCCCAGCACTCTGGAGGCTGAGGCAAGAGGATCGTTGTGAGTTCGAAACCAGCCTGGGCTACAAAGTGAGCTCAAGTTCAGCCTGAACTGCATAACAAGACCCAATCTCAAAAAAAGACAAATAAATAAATAAATAACTTAAAAATGCCTATGTCTGTAGAGGTGTGGTCAAACAATTTGGTGGGTGCTGCTGAGAGCACCATCCAGCAGAAAGGCAGGATCTTCAATGCAACAAATGGTCAATCTAAGTCTAGCAGCCATGTGTGACTAGTGTCAAGGTGTTTGGTGCAGTCAGTGTATCATCAGCTTTGTTGAGAGAAGGTATGTTTTAAAGTGTTCTATAAATCATGAGTCATGCACAACAAATTAACATAAAATGTCAGTTTCACTGGAGTTGCTTGATCCTGCTGCTTCAGATTCTAGCTTTAAGAGACGTCATCACA